GACCTGTTAATGCACACTTAAAATATTTACAAAGCATCTTGGGAGATGATCATGTGATGTTGGAGCCAAAGTAAAAAGAAAAAGAACAGAAAAGAAAAGAAAAGTTTACATAATAAGCAAAGGGAGAAAAAAGAAGTTTACATTCTGTCACCAACACAATTCTTCCTTTTTTGCACCAACTGCACTTGCGTGAATGAATTAGAAGATCAATTTTGGACTGCATAGTCATTTGTGGAAATAGAAAAACTTGGCTTTACCTCAAAAGTCTGTAGGACTCTATCACTACTGTGCTACTATACAAGCATCTACTGATCTCCACTGAAAAACGAAAAGACCAAGAAATGCCTTTACGTCCAGCGCACATCCCACGACTGGAAAAAGGACTCTGGCAGCAGACCTCCATTTAAACTCTTTACACAGCATTTAAAATCCAGTCCCTATCACAACATAAAAATGCCTTTTACCTGCAACACTGGCAAAAGAAATGTTGCATGTTATGCTATCCTTAGTTACTATACTGTACAGCATACTGCACTATCAATGTGACTGCAGTGTTGACATTCAATGGCATCCTGTATATTGCTCTCCCTCAGGGAAGCTATGAACACTTACATCCTTTTCATATAAATGGGTGAATGATGTAACAGTTGGCATGAAACAGAAATGTATGACTTTCAATGGTGGTCTTATTCTTGGGGGGAAAAAATGTACAATAATAATAGAGAATAAAAAAATGAGTCTTTTCCTTTACATAAACTTATTCCCCCAGTTGAATTCTTTATAAAACGGGGAATTTCAAAAATTGTTACCAACCAGCATTTGAGCGCAAGAAAAGCTTACACATATACTTCTGAATATGTTACTTAACATATGAATAAAACACTGTAAAAAAGATAAAACAAAATCAAAATCAAAAGGAAAATGGTCCCTCCTCCAAAGCATTAATCATAAAGAATGATTCAGCAGGACATTAAGCCTTTCCAAAACTATGGCTTTCCATTCAAAGTTTTTGTTACAACACATTTCACTTTCTTCATAGAGACATTTCTTGCAACCTGCAATAAAGTTGCCACTTCTCCCTGCATACCCTCTCAAAACCTGAGTTAAGAAGTTGCATTTTGCTGTTTTATCAAAAAACAAAAAACATATAAACAAAAGTACTATTTTTTCCATTCCATTGATCAATTATATTATCAATAATTTACTACATTTTACTTTACTTTTTGTATGTCTTATAAATTATGTAATTACTTTTTTTTCTTTGTTCTTTTTTTTTCACTTATACATTCATCTTTTTTTATTTTTACCATATTTTCTGTAATACATATAACTTAAGAGTTCTTTCCTTTTTGACAAATTTCTATCTTATTAATTCTATCTTTTATGTAATTATTTCATTCATCATCATTTTCTTGTATTGCCTATACTTATCCACTATTAAACACTTATTTTGTCTTTTACATGACAGTTTATCATTTCTTTACTCCCACAGGTAACCTCAAGCAACCACACATTCCTGAGGACTCCTCATGAAATTATTATGTTGCTGTCATGCTTTCTGCCTATTCCTCTCTCCATACCCCCACACCCCCACACACACACAAAATCAAAAATCAAGTACATGTTTCTGACAGTTTTCAAAGAGTCAGCTAAATTACTACCATTATCCTTATTCATTTTTCAACTCACCTGTACATGCTTGTATTTTTGTGCATGTGTGTCACTTAATACACAATTACACACAACAAACATACACAGAGGCACATACATACATATCACATACACGTCATACCTTTGTGCAAAGTTCTGAGCTGTTCACATATCTAAAAACCTTACTCTCAGAAGAATTTTGAAATTCCAGTGAAGTTCAATACAATCACAAAATAAAGAATTGGAAGAACTGCTAGAAGGATAATGAATTTATCTATTCTATACTTTGTGTAATATTTAGGCATAACACCATTTTTTTTCAAGTAATCACAAATTAATAATGGAGACTGTTTTTAAAATTATCAGATCTGCCCTAAAGTTAACCACATGCCACCGGGGAAAATGAATAAAAAAAAGGGGGAAATGCAATGCTCATTTTTTATATTTCCGTGAAATGTATCTGCACATAGATGGCTCTGCTAGTGCTTAGCCACAAAGGAGTCAATTAGTAGACCTTGTGACTTTACCTAATTTCCCCATTCCTTGAATTGGTTGGAAAAATGTATTTTTCACTAATGCTATGAATATTGATGGTGTTATTTTCATTATAGAAATTATAATTACCATAATGTTACAAACATTAGTAACAGCAAACTAAGATAATTTAAAATACCTTCGTAAATCAGGGAAAAGGGTAAATGGGTGAGACAGGCAGTACTTGTAATTGGCTCACTGGTGACTTAGTACAAGTGTAGCCATCTATGTGTAAAAACAATTAAAAAAGTAAATTGACAGTGGGCATGGTATGTACGTACATGCCATGCCCGTAAGCACTGGGTTAAAACTGTGA